GCACTTTTCCCTTGGCAATGCCCCAGCTGGGAAAGGCAGTGTGGGCCTCATGAACACTTTCCAGCCCTTGGCATTGGGATGTCGCCCTTCACCAGCAGAACTGGGGTCCTGGTAGCAACAAACTTCACCCCAAGAGCAGCTAAATCAAACCTCGCTTCCCCAGTTACAAAAACACTCACACCTTCTGCCTACACTTAACAGTCTGAGCATTCATCTACAAAGGTGAAAGGCAATGAACAATTACAAAACATTTCCAGTTTCAATGGCTCAGTTTCCCATGCTCAAAGCAAGCCCAGCCCTTATTTTCTCCCAGTTCTTACTTTCTAACTGTGCACAGCACAGCCTGTTCATCCAGACTGAACACTTGCCTAACTCCACATGTATTTGCAAGGTGCCAGCCAGTGTGGTATCCATATTCTGTCCCTAGATAGCTATATTTGTGGTAGCAGGCACAACATAGAAATGAGATGGGGCTGCCAACTCACACATGGGCACACTAAGACTTCCCATTTTGGGTCTTGGAATAGCAGTGCAGACTGCTTTACCCTGCACGTAGCTGCTCAGAGCTCAAACTGTTCAGACGAGCAGATATCCCGCCTGCCCCACACCTTCCCCCTCATCTGCCACAACGCGATCCCAGCAGGAAAGATGATGGCAATTTTTTATGCTATTTCTGCATTATCCAGGCTTCCCTGGCAAACTGCTCCGCTCAGTAACCAAGCTCATCTTGCTGATGTAAAGATGAAGTCCTACCTCTGACATAAATGTTAGGACACTGATTTACCCGCTGTCTCTTGCTTTTTCCTATGTGGGCAAGAGGAAGGAACAATGCTACAGCTAAAAATAATTGTGTGCATCAGCCCTCAAAATTGCTGAGGGTTTTGGGGTTTTTTTCATAACTCCACAAGCCACTATTTCAGGCACAACCTAAACATGGAAAATGTGAGCCCCACCACGCTGACCCTTCAGAAGACACGTGCATTGCAGCATCGGCAGTAGGAATCAAAATTCTTTTGGGCCTGTATCTAAGAACGGTTGCAATCAATGCAAATAAAATGCCGTCTATAAACATTTAGTAACCAAAATGACACAAGATCTTCTTTGTTCAGAACCTGCTCCAGTTGTCCTCCTCCAACAGCTGTTTTTCTTTCCTATGTCATGGTTACTGAGCTCTCAGTCTTAAAATGAAGCAAAGGACACATTCATCTACCAGTCAAAGAAAAGGCAGCTTGTCAGAGCGGATCTGTAGGCCAAACTAAAAGCTCTCTGGGGCTTTGCAGGTATCTCGTTAAAATTTCATTCAGAACAAACTCTCTTAATGGTTCCTATTTGGGTTTGCTTTCCTTGTAAGGCTATTTACTTGCTTTTCAATACTTGACACTTAAGAAGCCCTGTCCTCTTAACTCGCCAAAATATGGTGACCAACATAAGGTTCAGCATTATTTAAGTATTTTAATTAAGAACAAACCCATGAAAAAACCCCACCCCCCCAGCTCCCTCGTTAAGGTCTGATCCAACTCCCATTAACGTCAAGAGATGATCTGCCACTGACGCACTCCAGTGCTGGCCTGGATCCCCACAGCATCAAAAATCAGTTTCATTTACTGGTTATGTTACAGAAACCAGCTAAAACATGAAGAACAACTGAAAAAATCGAGTTAAAGTTGACTGTAGCTACAGCTGTCACTAGCAGCCTCCTGCTTTAAACATCTGCAGCCTGCACAGCCCATGTTCAGAGCAGCAATGCGTGCGCACACATGTATGGACACTGAGTCATTTGCAGGAACAGACACTGTAACCCACGGCTTTGAAACTCCATTAGGAAAATACTAGTGGGAACTAACAAGAGCCGTGTTTTGTTACAAAAATCTAAGCTTTGCCGAACAAAAACTAATTTAGGGAACTGATGACATCAGAAATACTGAAGTCAGACAATTACAGTGAATTACATTTCAACACAAGCATTGGGATATTCTTTAGAAAGAAAAAGACTGTGATTTTTATATTAGCAACTGAGGTCTTCAGGGGTACCAGGTCTTCTCCCAAGAATTACTAATCAGTCATTTCACATTGCATATGTCTGCATTTTCAGATGACTCAGAGTGTCTAGCGATTGAATACCATGGGATTCAACCCACAACCAGCGTCATTAACATGAGAGTTCAAAAAAACTCCACAAAATTGAGTTGGTAGAGAAAGCAAGTTATGGTTATTTCTTTCACCAAAAAACAAAGGATATCTTGAATTAAAGGAAAACATTTTTATTCCTAATCAGTACAAGTTAACAAGTGCTAGGTCTGTTTTAGTGCAGATGAAGTAGAACAAGAATTATCCGAAAATAAAAGTTTGCTATGTTCTCAATTCTGAAATGAGGGCACGAAGCAAAAATCATAAAAAAGCAAACCACTGGACCAAGCAGAAACCCACTGCCTCAGCTAAGAAGAGAGAAAAAAAGGGAGAGGGAAGGGAAGTGCTCTTCCAGGAGTTCAGATCCCAAAGTTGGGCTGTGTTTTGCAGTCCCTCTGGCTGCTTTCCGATTTCCATCCACTTTGCCAAGAAACTGTTGAAGCTCCAAAAAGCTGTTAGGGAGACAGGACATTCCCAGACTGCCATCGTGCCATTTGGTGGAGCGCTTGCTAATTTTAGATTAGAGGAGGAACACGCTGGGACAATTAGCCAAGAGCCACTCCTGGCTCTCGCTCCAACCCATCCCCAGACACAGCTCGCACCCAAACAGCAAAATCGACTGCAACAGCCTTCAAACACAAACAAAAAACAGAGGGAAAGGAGGACCCACATGAGCATTTCAATCCCAAAAGCAACCAGGGGAAATGACAACCCTTTGCCAAAGGGCACCTTACACAGAAAACCCACCTGCAAGCAGTGAAGGTGGAAAAACAGGAGGGGACCGTTTAATAGCAGAGGGAAGATGGCCAGAGAAAGCGTGCCAAAACGGTATCTGATTGCATGCCACAAGACATTATCTGCTTGCAGGGATATCTGGCATGAAATGCCAACTGCAGGATATTTGGCATGAAATGGTTTGGTAGCACCCAAAGCCATCTCCATGCTACAGAGCAAGAGCTCTTCCACCTGCTCCCCCTCGGGGTACAGAGGGGAACAGATCGAGCCACTGGGGAAAGGAACCCAGAAAATAAGTGTACACAAGCATCATACCTTTAACAACACAACATCTACAGTCCTGTCCACCTTGGAGATGTCGCACAGGCTGTATCGCCGCCTGTGGCGCTCGTACATTTTGTCCAAAAAGCCGGGAGCGGAGGAGCAGAGCCCAGCATGAACCCCAGGCTGACCACGGCCGAGCACGCTCCAGACCTCTCACATAGGTGCTCGCAGGAGTCCCCGTGTCTCAGCACACCACAGCAGCCTCTCTCTTAACAGGAAAAGGACAATCCCAGAGTGTGACCAGCTGATAAAGTCTTCTCAGAACAGATTTGCTTATACAGACAACGCAGGAACTTCGAGCGAACAGAAGATATTTGAAGAGAGCTTTATGCATATAGGATAATTTTTTTTGCAACTGCTAAGAATGGTATCAGCCTTCCTGTTACGGTAATAATAATAATAAAAAATGTTTTCCAGACAACTTTGATATCCAAAAAAGCACCAGAATGAAAATCCTGCCCAAAAAAGAGAACAAAAGCCAGATGTGTGCCGCAGGAATCCCAACGCTCCGAGAGGGAAGGTAGAAGGTAGGCTCAGCCACAACGAGTCTAATTCAGCAAGAAAAGAAAACAGCCGATCACCGTATCCAACGTAAATACTGCCACCAACGTGTTCGTTCTTTCACACCCTCGTGCACCGAAAGAAACAACAAAAAAAGGCACTTTCCTCCTTTCGGGTCGGTCCACTGTTCACCAGGCAGAAGGGCTTGGTTTTGCATTAAGTTTAAATTTCTAATGACAGCACAGGGCAAAAGGAAAGAAAATAATGAAATAAAGCCACTCCCTCCTGATTTGGGCTGGGACGTCACTACTTGCCTTTTTAGTCCTGCACCAGTGTTCTCCCAGCTTTCAAAATTTCTTTGCAGTTGTAGGAGCATGATTCATCGCTTGAGAGAGGGGAAAAAAAAGAGGCGGAAGGGGGAAGAAAAAGCAGCTTTTCTTTGCCAGCCTCTTCCACCTCCGGCTGCAGGCACTCGGCGTGTGTTTGCTCGGTCCAAAAAGAGCCTGAGAAGCAAAGGGACGTGTTTTCGGAGAGGCAAAAAGCCTCTTCCCTCTCCCCCAGGCCAGGTGAATGAAAGACAGTTTCAGGCTTAACTCTTCCCCAAAACAGGAAGGGAAACTTATGATATAATCAGTGCAAAAAGAAAAAAAAGAACGAAAGAAAGAAGAAATCGGCCAGTTACTTTTTTTGTTTGCCACACAGAGCAAAAGATTTCAGTGACTTGCTCTCCAGAAAATACAATTTTCCCTCTTTATTCTAGCCTGAAAGCCAGAGCTTTTTTTCTTATTAAAAATAAAATAAAAAAACAACCCACAAAAAAACCAAACCCCAAACCAACTCTTAAAGCTTTTTCATCTTTCCAATGCGGGGCCAGAGGGAGCGTCTCTCCCCTCTCAATAGCTCATTCACATCAGCTGGGCCCTGCGTGCACACTGCCACATGGTTTCCTGTTTTCAAACTGCCCCCTCGCAGCCCCCTCCGCTTTCCACCCCACCCTGACCTCTCCAGGGATGAAATCTTTCCATACTTCCCTGGCTTTAGACATTCTCTCATTCACCGATTCAAAAGGGAATGGGGGTGGTTAATGGGGGGGGGGAAGAGAAGAAAAGGGGAAAGGGGGTTTTCTGTGGTGGGGAGTTTGCAGTGAGCAGAACTTGCTGCTTTTCTGGGCAGAAAAGGTGGAACACATAGGATTTGTTAATCCTGTACTGCAAAGCAGGAAACACAGATATCGGAAACGGCGTGTATCAACCCTGCATTTAATTGCAGGCCTCCAAAAGCCGTCCTCAGCGGGGCCGGGGGAACGGACCCACCTCCTGCTGCTGGGATCCGCTCCACTCGCAGAGCTTTGTGAAGGGTTTGGAGGCCTTTTCATCCAGCCCTGGAGGGTGGCCCTGGTCCCCTGGTTCTATGAGGTGCTTTGTAACCACCAGCTCAAGTTCTGGCAAAGGCGACTCAAACCTGCAACCTGCCGAAATGGATAAAAACCGAGTTTTTGGCATTTGCATGCAAGATGAGCCTTCCAAAGGAGGTCTAAATCCATCTACAGAGAGCAGACACTCCAGCTCCTCTCTTTTCAGTGCTACCCAGGCCTCTGGCCACCCAAAAACATTGCACCAGCAGCCTGCTTGTGAGTAACACAGGAACTGACTTCTCTCCGTGCCTACTTGGTAAAAAACACTGAAACACCAAGTACTATTTCGGCTTCTCCTGGATATGACATCCCCAATCCACAGCCGGATTACACAAAAGCATAATCACCCTCTAAACTTAGCAGACTCTAAGCAAGCCGAGAAGGGTGACTTTTCCCAAGACTACACCATGGCTCAGTGGCATCAACCAAAGGGCTGCTTTCGGGCACCGCACCATGATCATGTCCTCATGCACTGGAACAGGCTGGGCACTCGCAGTGGACCAGCTCCTCCCAGTAAATGACACAGGAATGCTCTTACCTAGTCAACACGAGGTGTCTCCCCCTGCTTTCATTAGGCTCCAGTGTCTCCCTCACAACCCAAAGCTTCATCTTCACCACACCACCAGCTGAACTGAGGAGGATCTCCTCTATGAGGCTCTCTTTCAGCTACAATCCCTTGCCCCAGATCACAGCCAATGACTCCCTTCTCCTCAACAACAAGAGCTTCTGCTTTCAGTATTAGTACACACACAAAATGTGGTAGTGCTTTGGGGACTTTCTGGAGCCACCAGTTTTCTCCACAAGTAACGAATCCCAGCAATCATGTGCCTGTCGAGATGAGGAATCAGAAATGGCTGTGACAGCATTCCAGCCCTTCAAACACTACCATAAAAGGCAGGGATTTCCTCAAATCTAAATTTACAAGGCAGGAACCTATAAACAAAGTGTGTGAATTCAGTTCAGGTAAAGGAATTTGCTGCAGTTGCTGTACTTCGATGATGCTCTAATGTTTCATTATGGAGCACCCATATTTTTTTAACTGATAGAGCAGTTAAGTTTGTTTTCACATCAATGTAATGATGGCTGCTGGTATATAAAGCTGAGGTTTATCCAAACGACATCTGCACAGCTCTGTCAAAGCGCTCCACTTAATGGGCTTCAACCTTTGAATTACAGAACCTCTCTGGCAACCAGGAAGAGATTCAGGGTCAGGGCTCGAGCAATGCCCACCTTGCAGAGGAGACTGAGGTGTGAGCATCACCACTGTGACAGTGCCATAGGTCTGACTTGGAGCTGCATTGACACCAAGTCTTTTACAGCTCACGTTATCTCATCCTTCTTACAGGTAAGGAGAAATATCTCTAGCCAAAAGAGGTGGGAGACGCACTGGGAGATGTGCAACCTTCACAGTATGAAGTTAGAAAGAGGAGGCCAATTTTTCCGAGCTATCCACAAAAATCTTGGTATGGCCTCAAGCCACAGGTAACCCAACACGTGCCTTCATGGGGCAGGAGGGAACATAAAATTCAGGTGCAAGGCGCAGGGAGGTGGAGAGAGCTGGCCAGCGCCAGGCAGGGTGACTCTGGGCACAAGGACCTGTCCTAGGACTCAGTACACATCCATGCCCTACCTGTGAATCAAGATGATGACCTGCCTTCCTCTGTAATTATGTGTCTTGATCTAGTAAAGATTGCCAACTGATCCCTTTGGACTCCTCTATGCCTTCAGCCACAGAGGGAAATAATCAACACAAACAAACAAACAAACCCGCAAAAAATATCCCCCTCTCTCTCTTCTCTTTTTCTTCTCAAATGTAAGCTTCCAAATCCCTCATTTGTTCCAAGAGTCTTCCTGTGGTTATGTTCCTGACTCACAGCCAAGATCAGGCGGCCGGTGACGACTACAGACACCCAAAGTCCATTTCATCTTCACTTCCAGACTCTGCTGTTGAAGGGGGTGGGGAGAAACGCAATATAAACAAGGAGAAGATAATGTGCCAGACACGCTCCCCCCTTGGGAGACCATCACTCCCTTCCCACATTAGGTGGGGCTTTTGCTGCATTGTTTCAAGCTGGAAATCTTGCCTTGCACACAGCCGTACACAGACGCAGAATGCAGCCTCAGCCCAGACGAGGCAGAAGAAAAGTTTCCAGTCTCTTTTATCCATTCAGTAGGGCAGTCCCTTGCATCCCATATGCATGTTTACACAGTATATAGTATTTACTATCAGAAAACACAATGCACCAGACAATCAGAGGATAAAGATTAAGTAACAAAAATCCTACTCCAATGAGTTAATAAGTCTTTTTTTTTTTTTTTAAATTTCCACGAGTTGCTCAAAGTGGAGCAGCGATGCGAGCTGCAGCCCGGGCCATCGGCTGCTGATGCGACAGTTCTGGGCTCCTTATTAAAACCATCTGGAAGCGCTGAGCTGCTCTGTGCAGACAGGAGTTTGAAACTATCCAATCCTTTCATATCCAAACCAAAGTCCAGCACTGCGAATTTCACGGGAAGGAAAAGGGAAGGGGGGGAAAGGCGCCCGATCGCACCATATGATCTGTAACTCATCCAGATAAAACTCCTCCTCCTCCACCCGCTAACAGACCTCTTAATGACAAGGAAATCATGATTATTCTGAAACAGACTACACTATTGTTATCTGTTTCAAATTACTTCTGCCATATCGTTATGAAACACTGAAAATGATGCAATCTGCAGAAATACTCAGGCGTATTAACTTTTTAAACTGCGGCTCCAATAGGAACTAATGGAGCAGTAGATGAAAGGAAGAAAGTTCTCCCTGTCTTAAGCAAGTCAAAACCCACTTCTGGGCACTAAACACAGGCGATAATAAATTCGTCAGACAGGAGGAGAGAAGAGTAGCAATTTCAATTGCTCGTTTCTTAAAAGAAATCAGCTTTTTGGAAAGGGTTTTAAAAGTTTTTTAGCACTTGCAAGGATAGACAAAACAAACCCCTTTTTTTCCTGAAACTAAGTAAGGCAAAGGAAATCTGCACTCGAATGCTGCAAAGCCTGGAAGACAAGAGCATCCAAACTGGAAGGCAGCGCACATCCATGGTGTCTGCTGGGAGGCAGCGCAGCACCCACGTGAGGGGAGATCAAGACAGATGCTCAGATGTGGATTTTGAAGAAGACCAGGCAGTTGCTGAACTTACAGCACAGACCTTGGTAAAGAGCCCTGGATGTTAGATAATGCATTTCTCGTTTTGCCAGGAGCATTGCAAGACAGAGGAGTTTTGTGACTGACTCGCTCTCACCCTGCCTGTCCATCTGCATCCCTGCAGTGGCACTTTGGCCACGTCCCTCCGGCCACAGCACGACCCACCAGCGTCCCACCAAGCAGCATCCTCGTCATGAGGTGGCCCCAAAAGGCTGGTTGAGATTTTGGACTCCTCTACGAGGTAAGGCACAGAAAGGAGTCAGGGACATGGACAGTCCCCTGTGATCAGATGTCACAGAGATCCCATCCGTGGCAGGGACCGCACTGCTGTAACGGGAAAGCTCAGTGATGCAAGCAAACTGTCAAAATCCTGGTCCTCAAACACCTTGGCATTGACCAGCTCGATGTAATCCTTTGGGAAAATCACCTACAGTATCAACACAAGTTTTACTCTCCAGCCTGGGCAGCCTCCACTCTCCTCAAACGTCCTTAATTAAATCATTCAGATCTTCAGGCAAAGGTCTGGAGAGTGACATTTCCCCACAGAGCGATACTGTGCTTTGGGACCACAGGACTGAGCTGAATTTTACATCCAAATACACCACTGTAGAGCTGCTGCCTGCATTCAAACTCAAAGACACAACCACTTAATAAACAGCTGAAGAACCACGAAGGAGGAACAAGGAGGGCTTGGAAAGCTATCAGACATACAGAAACATGCAGTGCGTGTTTTGAGAAAACACAAAAACACCTTGAGAGACCTTCAGCCATTTCCTGACCTTCCCTTTTCTCGTATTTTTTTCAGAAACGTGGTGCACATTTCTCAGGAATTTCTATTGTCCACATAACCTTCGGAAAAACGCCGAAGCTTTGGTCTGCCACAGAGCATGCCTGAACATCCTTCCAGAGGAAGTCAACTGCCCATCTTACTCCTCCCAAATGGCTACAGCAGAAACACATCCCACGCAAGAGATTAGCAACCCCTCAGCTGACTCTACATCAGTCTGCAACATCTACTTCTGCCTTTACCAAAAATAACTGCAAATCAAGATGTCTGGCTGGCTGAAGTGCTGTGGGATCTTGGACCACGCCACAGATATTTATTTAGCACGTTATGGGAGTTGAGAGAAATCCTTCTCGCTGTCAAACACTGGATGTGTTGTTTCACCCTGTGAATTCCAGCATCCTGAAAACAGGGAAGGGAAAACACATGTGGATAAAGTGGGAAAAGTGGGAAAAATAACCTGTAAAAAGTGGGAAGAGTCCCCAGAACAGGCTGCCAAAGAGCACCTGAGCTACGACCTCCAGAAGCAACCTGTGCTACACAACCCCTGTGTCCTCCGGGATGCCATATGCTCCCACACTCAGGCACTTCCCATCAGGGCATGGGGTCTAATTATCTACAGACAGTAAAAGGCAAAGATACTGTCATATTTCATAATGAATAACGCAGTTCTCAAGCAAGTCTCTGGATGGGAGATAGTGCTTTGGTATCGCTGCTGCCAAAGGGGGTCACCACAAATTACATTCACTTTTTTGACCCCATCCAGCACTGAAGCTGGTCATGTTAACAAAGCTTAAATTTCCCTTCATGTTTTTCAGTTGCTTGTAATGAACATGCAAATTTCACATGCACAAAACAAGCAATTATCTTTGCTAATTATGGTGATTCAAGCCCTCCTATTTGCAAGGCAGGATTACGATTTCTGGAGTTGGAAAAGATAACGGTATAAAAGTATTAAAAATAGTGAATTGCATTTGTAGTTTTCAAACCATTGTAAACTTTATGCAAGCCACTTGAAATTGGTTTGCACAGGCTATCCACCAAATACATGATGAAGCCCGCTCAATCTACACAATACCCAAACAAGCAATGTACAGTAACTCGTCCTAAAGAGGAATTAAGAAGATCATTACATCTGTCTCAAATGCAAGAAAAAAGGGAATGTTTCATTATCTATAAAGTTCACAAATGAAAAACTCAACAGAATTTTTCATTTTTATACTACCTATAATAAAAAAGCATGTTCTGAAATCACTGGGATAGATACAGGAAATAAGAAAGTATTGATTTACACAAATAAAAACCTGTGTTCCTTATCCCTTAATAACAAATTCCAGAAATAGTAAAGCCTTATAGTTCAAGGTATAAGGTTAAAAATTAGGAGAAGTTTTTGTGCAGGAAAACAGACCATCTCCCATTTGCAGTGTGCAGGAAACACCACCTCATCTTCCAAAATAACGGCCTGATACCCGTTGCTGTAGGCACAACGTGACATCGGTTCCAGGATACGCCTGGTGGATGCTTCTAGCTAAAAAACTCATGTGTTTAGCTAAAAACAGAGACAGGATAGCAGATTACATAGATGAATTGGCGGATAAAGCCCAACAAAATGACGTATGGCATCAGCGAGTAAAATTAATAGACAATATAAAAATGACACATCTTGAACTGAGGAAATTATTCAATTTTTACCATTCTTTTATGTCCCCAGTTTCAGGCACTGTAATCTAACTGAAAAACAGAGAAGGGTCATTCAAATGAATAAATCATGCCAGAAAATGATTCAGCTTCCCTCTTTTTTTCTTCTTTCCCTTTTTAATTGAAGTCCCTAGGACTCGGCCCTTGGGAGGCCCACACGACCCAGAGTATTGTCCAGGCCGGGCACTCTGTCAAAAGGGAAAACATTATCTCTTGTTTCATCTTGGAGCTTGAAAATCTGGGAGGGGAAATGGTGGGAAAGGCACCCATCATATTTCCAAGGTAATTTTTTTGCTTGGCTGCTAATGAAGGCAGGGGATTGAAAACACCGTGGGATTTGTTTTGCCCTTTCCATTTCTCTGTTTGCTTTGTGGGGAGGAGGATCTCAAACCCCAGCAGTAACTGAGATGCTCTGAGCGCAGCCAAGCCCCCCTCTCCCCAGCAGTAACAGACTCCCCAGCTCACCCTCCTACCTCCACTCCCATCCAACCAATATTTTCATGCCCTCTCTCCATGCATTTGGAAACTTGAAATAAAATCCAACGCAAACTTTGAGAGGAGGCATTTGGATTGCAGCTCCTGCCTGGGAGGTCTGCTCTAGGACCACGTGAGTATTCATTTTGCTCGCTGTTTTACCCGTTTCCCTGGTAGTCCTCTGTAAAGAATATTAAACAAATGTGTCTTTACAGCTCAAGAGCCCAGGAAAGAATGTTGACTCTGTGGAAGAAACCTGTTTTTACCGATTTTTACCCTGCTTTTATCCCTCTGGTCTAAAGACATATATGCAAGGGTAAGGATTCACTGAGTCTGCAAAGCCATCGTTAAGGACTGCTATACCAATACAAGTTCAATACGTTTTCCTCTTTAGCCCAATTTCAGAAAATATTCCTCAAGGAATGTCATGACACAAACCATATGTATAATTAGCAGCCAGATATGTGGAAGCATCGTCATTAGTGAGGAATTTTCTCAACTGTTGACACTGCTCCAGAAAAATAATAAAATATTTATTCCTAAGGTTATAAACCAACATATGCTACATTTCCTCTACCAGCTTTTCAAAGATCCCTTTACAGGAACATTTCTTCCTGCAGGGATAATTCCTAACTGGAATAATGGATCCAAACCCTGCTCCCATTTCTCTCCGCTCAGTTAAATGTAAGAAATGTCCCTGCAAACACTGGGAATTTTGGGTCAATGCAGGTGGTTTAGGAAAACTTTACCTACAGGAGTTTTGTGCTCTCCTCTCTCATCCCCCACCTGCCACAGCTGCTGCACTTCCACACATTTAACAGCTCTAATCAAGAGATAAACAAACACATTTAAGCCTACGGACAATGATAAATGATGCAAAAAATGTCAAAAAACCAACATTTATCATATCTGGAAGCTTTGCAATCTCCCTGACTTATCCTCCTGATTGGGGCTATCCCAGGAGCTGCAGAGGTCCCCATGCTGCAGAGAAGGATAATGGAGCATCTAAAATTTCTGGCCAGTGACTATAAGGAGAAGGTTGGTTTTGTTTTCTTTAGAAGAAAGGGTGAAATGTTCTGCAGCTTCTCTCTTGAGGCCAAAATCCAAAACATTTACAAGACCCAGAAGCCAGCAAGCTTGCAGATAATCAGCAGAGCTGATGCCAGTTCAATCAAAGCAAACCAGTAACAGCAACTGGGAGGAGTACGGATTACGCAGCATCGTTCTGTATAGAAAAAAACACCCTTTTTGTTATGCAATGGTTAAATAATTTAACCAGAAACCCCTTCTATCCCAAGTTAGAATTGCTGACGGCTCAGCTAGTCATTTTGGCTATTACGTAGCATTAATCTCTGCTGTTTCTGAAGTTACCCTTTCAGAGAAAAAAAGACAACTTCAAAACATGCAGAAATTAATGAAAACCATATGTGGGATACTGTCATTATTCCATGTTTATAAGAGGATCAGGTTTTGTTAAATGGGCTTATTTAATGCAGACGCATAAGAAAAAATACCCAGCAAAAGATCTGAAAGCTATTGAAAGAAAAATATTTTCTTTGTTAACCCACGCAGCCAGTAACAAGCAAAAAGACACAATTTAAACTAAAAGCTGCTATATATTTTGGCGCAACTTTGTTTACAGCTTCACTGACAGCTTATAAAGTTCTCCTAAGCAAAGAAATCTCTCCTAGATATATTTCACCCTTTTGAACCTTTTCGCCCCCGTACTGTATTTAAGCTGGGACAACCTAAAAATCAATGGCTTATGGAAACATCTGTCGGTACAGGCACACAATTTAGAGGTTTTTGGTTTTTTTCAACAGCTGTTGTTATTTTATGCTTTTTTTGGCTAGGTCAATCAGTAAGACTGGAAGAAAATATTAGTTGGGCTCCTTTCCTGACTTTGGTCTCTCTTTAGCGGCTGCTGACAGCGCCTCGTTCCCTCCCCTGCCTTAGGGGCTGAGGACAAATACAGTCTGAATGTCCCCCAAGTCTGGTCTTGCTCACTATGCTCAGACAAGAAATAAAGGAAATACAGTTCCAAATGGACACCTGTGTTATCTAACTCATTCACCTAAATTTTGGCTTGAAATAACCCCTGCTACAGCTGCTTTCTGCCCCACACAAGGGAGCTGAAACCCTGGCTCCCCATTCCACTTCCAGCAGTGCTCCACAAGAAGCCCCAGGTCTGTCTCACCTCTCCTCCTGCTATTCCAGCACCGGGACCCAGACATCTGTTGACATCCTCCGTAAAAGGTAACGCACACCTATTTTAGGAGCCAACCTGCCAAAAGGTATTCAAAGTGCCAGACAGCGCTGCTTTCCAGAGAGCGAGCACCCATTGCTCGTAATAAGGCACGCATAAAAACAGAACGTACTTCTCTTGGGAGACTAATGCTTACCTAAAAAACCCCAACAAACTCAATGAAAATTTCCTATTTTTAAACATTTAATTC